CGCGCTGGGCGCCGGCCGAGTGAAGCGCGGCTGGGTTTGGAACCAGTTCTTCGTGGTGGAGGAGTACACGGGCACCGAGCCCCTGTACGTGGGCAAGGTAAAGTGGGACCCCGCACCCGCTGTCCCGTGCCCAGGACCCTGATAGACTCAAGGGACCCCAGATCCCCTACCCCCTAAGTGCCTGGTCCCAACTGCCTTGGCTGGAGGCAGACACCAAGGTCACACACTCTGCTTTCCTTCCCTGCCTGACTCGCGTCTCTAGTCCCTCTTCCTTTGTGTCAGAGCAGAGAGTGCTAGTAGGTAAGCCCAGTCCATCCTACAGCTAGATGTATCTAGAATGTAGAAACAAATTTGCAAATCTGAACATGTCCCACATGCACTCTCCCCACTCTGCTTAAAATTCTTCAATAGCTTCCCATGCACTTGGGGACACACCCAAATTCCACCCCACTGCCTACAAAGATCCCGCTCCCCACTCGAGTTTCAGCCGCAGGGCCCTGGTGCCTCAAGCATGCCTGCCAGCGCCCCTTTTCCTAGGTTGTTTCCTCCTCCTGAACTGCACCATTGTGCAGCTCCCACTGATGACTTTATACTCACACTCAGGTCTCTGCTCAATTGCCATTTCCTCAGAGAAGCTGACCCTACCACACCAAGCTAGGAGAGACCCCTCCTATATGTGACCATCCCTCCCTGTTATGTGCCCTCTAACACGAGGTATCTTTCCTTCATATCACTTAAGTATGCATGTGTTTGTTTGATTATGCATTTAATGTGTGTCTCTCCTCTTAGACTGTTTGTTTTGCTCACTATTAAATCTCCAGTGCTTAATGCAGACATTGCTCACAAACTATTAATTAAATGAGTGGATGAATGAATGAATGAAACTTTCTCAGACTCTGATGGTTAATGTGGCTAAAGATCTGTGCCCTAGGAGTTTAAGGAGCTGAGGTCTTTGAGATGCGATGCTGGAGAGGCAGTGGCAAATAAGATCCAGCCTCTGCCATGCGGGGCTTCCCAGAGTGGCAGAGACACCCTGATGCGTAAGAAACTTCACAGGTCAGCACCTGGCACTGAGAAGGCATTCAGTAAATGGTGTCTGTTGGCTGGCTTTTTAGAGGAGAAAACACCTGCGCCGGGTTTTGATGTATGAGTAGGAGTTCATCACCCTGATGGGAAGGAGAGCATAACCTATGGAAAGACTTGGAGTCTTGAAGGAGCCCAGCTTATTTGGAGAATTGTTGAGGTGGAGGGTACTTGTAGGGCATAAAAAGCAGGGTGGTACCCAGGGAGTTCTCTCGCTTCTGCTAAGGCCAATCAGCTTTCCAGGAAGTTTTGGTCAGCAGAGATGGGTGGAGATCAACTTTGGAGTTTCCTGTGTGCTGAGAGTTGGGTCTGAGAACTGAGAAACTGACCAAGCTGCTCAGTTCAGGGCTCAGGGATCAGAACCCTAAATAAAGACAGGAGGAAAGCCTTGATGTGAAGCTTTCATTTTGCCTGGCAGGAAACCCAGATTTTCTCTTGTTTAGACAGTCATACCTGATCCTTGGCTACTTTCCCCCTCCATACATGTGGCTGAAGCTGAACCCCACAACTGAGCAAATGAGAATTTGACAGATAGAGCTCAGAGAGGTTCATGTCCTTACTCAAGTAAACTAGTAGGAGAACCTAAGACTCCTGACTCGTAGCCAGGGGAGTGAGATGGTGGGTCTGGTAGAATGCGGTGAGGGGAGGGGAAGGAGCCAGTGCCAGCTGGATAATAGCTAATAGTGAGGTAGCTAAGAATGCAGGCTTTGGAGCCAGACACACCTGACCCCGAGGCCTGCTTCTGCTAACCCTCAAACCATATTACCTTAAACAAGTCACTTCACCTCTCTAGACGTCAGTCTCTTCATCTGTAAAAGTGGGGCTAAAAGAGCTCACTTCGTAGGGTTATTGAAAGGATTAAAGAAGAAAACTGAGCACGTAAAGTGTTCTGCCTGCGGCCTGGTTGCTTGTTTATTGTTTTCTCATCCTATATAAAGCATTTAACTCTTGAACTTCAAGATAGAAATCATTGTTTCTTTATGAAGGCGAAGAAACTGAGGTTCAGAGAGGGCAAAGTCATAGAGGGCCCAAGTGGCTTGGCCAGGATTTGAACGCTGTGTGTGGGAGGCCAGTCCCAGCCTGATTCTCCAAACCTCTCTGAGACCTCCAGGCCTGGGAGAAGGATTTTGGAAAACCCCAGAGCGACAGGGAAAGGCTCTGACACATCTGCCTAAATGTCAGCTGTGGTGGCCTCAGGCACCTCAGCCCTGTTGTCTGCCCAGCAGCTGGGGCTCTGAGAAGGCCCCCTGCCCAGCCACCACCCATGTCCTGAGAAGATCAGAGAACCCGCCGACTCACCGCTGTTGTCAGCATCCATCCAGCCATTGCCATCATCTCAGTGACATGAGTCAAACCCCACCCCATCTCCTAGAACCACAGTCTGTCAGCGATGGGAGGGCCCTAGTAAGTTCCTTCATTATAAGATGGGGCCAGAGGCAGAGAACATCATGCCAAAGCCACAGCAGCGCAGTGATAGAATCCACCCATTGACCAGATCTCCTGACACCAGCTCCTGGCCCCAAGCAATTTAACTATTCTGTATGAACGTCTACTGTGACGCAAGCATTGTGTCCAGCCCGGGGGTCTTCTCACAGCAGCCTCTCCCAACGTCCCTGCTGCTGTCATGACTATGTCATCCTCCCCCTTCATCATCTGCACCCAGAACCGCTCCTCTCTTGCTTTCAAGGCCACCTCCAGAAAAGTACTCTGTGCAGGGAGGAAGGAGAAGTTTCCATTTCTTTGCAAACATTTGCCCAAAGCACACTTTTATGAAAGGTGGTATAGTGTGTGGTTCAGGGCCGCAACCCGGAGCCAGACTGCCAGGACTGGAATCCCAGCTCTGCTGCTTGTTATCTCTGACCTTGGGCATGTTATTTAACGCCTCTGTGCCTCAGTTTCCTTATCTGTTGAGTGAGGCTGTTCCTAGCACCTCCTCAAAGGGTTGTGATGAGGGTTCAATGAGTCAGCAATGTTAAGAACCTAGAATAGTGCCTGGCATGTGCTCATTATTAGCTTTTATTCTCATAGGGCTCACCTGATATTTCCATTACCTTGAGAATACCATCTACACGACACCACAAACCCTGCTCTAAACCCTGAAAGCCTCCTGACAACCTGATGTCCTGGTTTCTCACCGGAGTGGGGGGAGGTGGTCTCTAGCCCACTCCTCACTCTAGGAATATGAGCTGGGCTTTTAAAAATCCTCCTGTCTCCTTTCTAGTAGAATCCATGTTTTTACAATTGGTTGTGTGTGCACACACATGCATACACACACACACACTCATGTTTTCGCTCTTTGGGGAGAAAGGACTTCTCCACGGTTTCAGTTAATTCACTGCTTCCAGGTCCCCTGCCCCAGGGAGCCACTGGGAGCATCTGTCCTTGTCGAATTCCAAAGGTAGCTTAGCAACAGCACCATCTCCAGTGAACCCCAGCCCCAACGGTAACCTATTTTACAACCGCCTCCTCCATCACTCACCGCCAGGCTCCTGTCAGCACCCGCAGGAACCGCTGGGCCCCGAGGTTGTCACCAAGGCCCCACACCAGCAGCTCCTGTCACTGTCCTGGCCCCTCTGCAGCCCAGCCCACCTCTTCCCCTCACCTTCTCACAAGACCCACCCTTAAAGCAACCTCCCAGCATTTCCATACAATCTGGGTAGTTGACTAATCCCTTTTCTGAACTGTAATTTCCCCAGAGGCTTCTGTCAGCTGGATGTGGATTTTGTAGGGTTTTTAATTCTTTTTTTTAAAAAGCTAGAATTATGGGGTCAGCCCTTATGACCAACTCCTGTGGGCGGTGAGATCTATTTTAGATATACGGCAGGATTAAAGTGGGAAGGAGAGCAGATTTAATTAAGTTGCTAATATTTAAAGAAAATTGATGAACTCCTGGTTTACGAGTAGCACAGGCTCGAACAGACCCCTTATTCTGGGAGAGGCTTTTTATTTCATTTGCTTTCCGTTTAAATCCTGGGCTCGTTTTATTTGCGTAGCTGCACTGTCCATTTAATTGTCTTTAATAAGGAAAACGTACCTCTGCTCGCATTTAATTTTGATTTAATTAGGAGGAAGTAATTAATGGCCTCATAAATCCTGTTTTTCAGCCCCCCGGGTGAGAAGCGCTCACTCTTGTGTTTTTCGTGTTGTTTATGATCTAAGGCTGGGGTTGGGGAGGGGCGGTGTCCTCCGGGGCTGGTCCACACTTGATATAGTGGAAAGAACCCAGGATGTGGAATCAGACGGGCTGTGGGGCTGCCTCTTGTTAGCTGTGTAACTTTAGGTAGAATATGGGCCCTCTCTGAGCTTCAGTTTGCCAATCTGTACAATGGGGAAAGAATAGTCTCTGACTCCCAAGATCACTATGAGATACCAACGAGGTCATGATGAAGGGTCTGGAAGTTTGCCTAGTGACTCCCCTCCCTAGTCTAGCTTGTGGATCTGAAATTTAACAGACTGGACCTTCCAGAAATCCCAGAAGACATTGGGGAATTCTAAGGACAGCTGTATATTTCACTACTCATTTACTCAATGTGTTTGGTGCTGTGCCCTGTGCTAGATGCTGGGGAAATGGAAACAAAGCCATGTGCTTGGCCCTCAAGGAGCTCAAAATCTCACACTCTCATGTGCATACACACACACACACACACACATTCCACTTTCCCATCCCCCTTGTATTTTCTCTGCAGGCATTGTCAGGGCACTAGTGTGTGCCAGGCGTTCAGACAGAGAGTAACCAAGTTAGCCCATGCTCCTGATGCCCATGACAGCTGGGAAGACAGATGTGCAGCATTGAGGTGTTATAGGGGAGTGTGCATGGGGCAGGGGCCAAGGCAGGGTGAGGGTTCTTCAACCAAAAAGGAGGGCATCTGAGAGGGCTGCTTAAATGAGGAAACAAGCTGAGTTTAAAAGGCTCCAAGCAGATATTGGGTGATGGCTCCTGTATCTCCAATGGGTCAAGATTTGAGCTACCCTCAAATCTTCCTGAGACTAGGGTGAGAAAGGCAAAGGGAATGAATCTACACTGAGCACCGACTATGTGCTAGAAGCTTCCAGATATGATCTTATGAGCCTTTGAAATCTATGGGAAAATAATATCAGCCCAATCTACAGCTAGGAAAACTGAGGCTCAGAGAAGTATTGCCTCTTACCCAGGGCTAAGCAACAGGTCCGTGACAAAGCTGAAGCTGGCACCCAGCCATTCCTGAAGCTTGTTACCTTTCCTGATTTGTGATTCAAAGCCCTTTTCCAAATGATGAAATAGAGGCTCCGATTGAAAAGGCTGCCAATGACTGTGGCCTGTTGAGTGCAAGGCAAAAGACTGGTGCCTGGCCTCCCTTTACCCCGTGCAGCTCTGTGACTTCCCTCCTCCTCTGACCCTCTTCCTTAGCCAGAAACATTGAAAGTGGACCCATCAAATGCCCAGAGGCTGCAGAGGGACCAACCTGTGCATAGGAGTCAAACAAATCAGGGTCCATCTCAGTCTCTTCACCTGGAAAATGGGGATACATTTATGTACATCATAAAGTTAAATCAGATTTCTGCAGAAGCCTGCACACATGTTGACATGCAGTAGGTGATCAATAAATGAGAGCACCATCCTCCAGCCTCCACTCAGAGCTGAAAGCCTTGAGAAATGTCCTAAGATAAGGCCACAGGCACTCGCTCTCCACTACAGAGCCAGGGCTGAGGCAAACAGGGCAGGCAGCCCCAGCCCAGCCCAAACCCTCAGCTCCAAGCTCCCGCCCAGGCCGACCAGCCCTGTCAGACTCTACAGTCCCCAGAGGGTAGCCACTGGGCCCAAGCGTGAACTCTGTGTCATTCTTTATGGAAAAACATCGATGACATCACCTCTGGGTTCCACTCATCCCTGTCTGGGGTCTGAGATAAAATGTCAGGGGCTGCAGGGGCATGAGGGAGACCCAGGAGAAAGAAAGAGAGGGAAACAACCATTTATAGAATGTTTAGGTCATTGCAAGTTCTCATTCAATCCTCACCACACCTGCACCAGGTAGGGCTTGATCTGATTTCTCCGGGGGGTGGGGGAACAGGCTCAGAGAGGTAAAATTAGCAAGCCCGTGGTCACAACTTTTGTGAGCCATAGGATCAGGAGCTGGCTTCCTGCACTTAGCTGTGTGACAAAGCAAATGACTTCCCCGCTCTATGCCTCAGTTTTCCCATCTGAGAAATGGAATAATAGTGTTCCAAGTGGCAGTGATGAAGACTAATAAGATTATAGCTATGAAGCATTCCCCCGAAGAGTAACTATAGGCATACCTTGTTTTATTGCACTTCACTTTATTGTGCTTCACAAGTGTGTTTTTTACAAATTGGGGGTAAGACCTTCCACCAGCAAAAATATACGACTCGCTTTATTGCCATACTCGCTTTATTGTGGTGTCTGCAACCGAACCCGCAATGTCTCTGAGGTATGCCTGTATTCCGCGCACTGATCAGAAATGTTTGCTAATGAAGTAAGCAGATGCCAGGTCTGATTGGAAAGTGGGTGCAGGCACTCTAAGATGGAACAGGCCCACCCTCTCCTATCGCATGTCCCCTGGGCAGATGTGGAGGAAAACCATAAACAGCAAACAGGAGAGACAGGTCTCCCCATCCCCGGCACTGCCAATGATTCAGGGCCGCCGTTCTGAGATAATTTTATTGGGGGCATTAAACTGAGTTATGAGGTTTTTACAATCCAGCCACTTATGAGAAATCTATTAACAGTAACTGGACAGGAAGAAGGCTTCTTGGTGGAGCCCAGGACAGGCATTAATTGGGGCAATCTATAACAGGACGGGGACCCAGAGAGGTTCCACCAGCCGCCTCCATTTACTCCCCGCAATTTCTGCTGAGAATCAGCAGACTCGCCAAAAAGAGAGAGATGCCCATTAATCGGCTAATGAAATATGAAAATGTTTATGGGCCATTCAATCTTCCAAATGGCACTTCTATAATCCACCTTTCAGACACAAAGTTCCACCAGCAGAATTTATTCCCCTGCTTCTGCGCGGCAGGGGGTGGGCTTTCGTCCCCCTTTGTGACGACTTTATTTGGCACCTGTTAACCTGCTGAGTAGGCTGGGGCACACAGCATCCTGGCCAGAAAGGGAACTTGGGGATTCTCTTGTTCACACCCCATTTCTGTGGAAGCTTAGAGAGGAGCGGGGACCCACCCAAGGTCACCAGCTTCATTGGATGCATTTTCCTCCGATTAGAGCTGCCTCGGAGATTTGAGCATTGGAGGGTAAGGACTTCTGTGTTTCTGTTCGGGAGAACAGTCTGCTGGCTGGTTCCTTGCCCAAGAGATCTCCGTGCACTAAAAACAGTCTGGGATCTGGAGCCTAAGAGTGCCTGGATTAAATCCCAGTTATATATAGCCAACATTTAGTAATAATATAATAATACGATAGCTACCATTTATTGGACACTTATTATGTCTCAGGCAGGGCTGATTTTCAGTTCATCCATGCCAGTGTGGTTGTGCCAGTTGTTGAGATGGTGAAAACGCTCCCTACCTGCGCTAAATAGTCTCCCTCCTCTCCCTCACCCCCACCACCTCAGCCCCTTGGACTTCTCTGTGATCTGGAAACCAGCAGGGCCCTGCTGTGGTACCACTTTGTGGACAGTGCCCCTGCCATGCTGGCTGTTAAATACTGTGTCACGTGGTACCTGGCAGGTGCTAAGGGCCTTGTGTGATTTCAGCTCACATGATCCCCCAGGAGACAGGTGCTATTATGATCCACATGTTGCAGAGAAGGTGACTGAGGCCCAGAGAGGTGCAGTGGACACACAGGGAGATGCTGCTGCAGCCAAGGTCAGGCTATAAAGCCGCTTCCTCATCCTGGGCTCCTCCTGGGAGACTTGAGGATGGAGTGAGAAGGCCAGGCTGTGGACCAGGCCAGTTCCTCCAAGGAGCAAACCATCCCACTTCTTTAATCCTCAGTGGGAAACTGAAAAAAATAATCTATAAAATCAGTAACAAAACCAGCTTAAATACTATTTTTTATAAAGAACCCTAAATTAGATAAATATGTAAATTGCTTAGCACAGTGCCTGACACATAGTAAGTGCTCCTTATTTTATTTGGCGCCTGTTAACCTGCTGAGTGGGCTGGGGCACACAGCATCCTGGCCAGAAAGGGGACTTGGGGACTTAGATTTGCATTCCCTTTTCTCCTCTCTCCCTTCATGCCCTGTCCCCATCATGTGCCAAGCCCTGAGACTGGCTCTCCAGAAATAAGTAAGATACCAGCCTTGACCTCTGGTGGCTCAGAGCCTAAGGAGATTGGACAGCAGCTTGGAATCATATTAGAAATGCAAACTGAGGCCCTGTTCCCAGACCTACTGAGTCAGAATCTGCATTTTAACAAGATCCTCGGGTAATTTGCATGCACATAAGGTTGGAGAAGCACTGGCTGCAGCGTCCTACAAGCTGAACATGATAATGATGGCTTGATGTACTGTAGAGATCGTGGAGGGGAGTGGGGACGGAGATCCAGAAGAGGTGGCTTTGAACTGAGCCTGCGGGATGAGTAGAGTTTCAGTAGGCAGAGAAGAAAGGACAAGGTGCTGAAAGCAGGAGCTGATTGGTGGAGAGGTGGCTCTGAACTTCTTTGTAAAGGCAATGGGGAGCCATGGAAGAGTTGCAAGCAGGGGAGGACATGTCTAGATCTGCCTCGGAGGCTGAGCTGGCTGCAGAGGGAAAGGCAGATTACAGGGGTGGGGCTGGAGCAAGGTAGATTACAGTGGAGAGCTGGTGGAACTCTCTGGGACAGACAGTGAGGCCCAGACTGGGTGAGGTATGGCTTCCCAGCCTCAGTGTATTTACTGAAGAATGGGTATGTCAAAGAATAGCCATGCTTAGGAACAGGCCCCCAGTGGGACTTGAGGGGGAAAGCCAAGAGGAGCTTCCTCCCCCACCTCCACCCTGTCTTCCTCCCTGCCTCTCCAGATCCACTCGGACTCCGACGAGGGTGACGGGGCCATCAAGTACACCATCTCAGGCGAGGGCGCAGGCACCATCTTCCTGATCGATGAGCTGACAGGTGACATCCATGCCATGGAGCGGTTGGACCGTGAGCAGAAAACCTTCTATACACTGCGGGCGCAGGCTCGGGACCGCGCCACCAACCGTTTGCTGGAGCCTGAGTCGGAGTTCATCATCAAGGTGCAGGACATCAACGACAGCGAACCGCGCTTCCTGCACGGCCCCTACATTGGCAGTGTAGCCGAGCTCTCACCCACAGGTGGGCTGCGGGACCCTGGGGGCATGGGGTGGGCCAGGGTGAGGGGGAAGGGGAGCTGCCAGATTCTGAGTGGGCCCCTGCTATGGGGTGAGTGGCTGATACTCTGAGAGGCAGGAGAGACAGGAACTGCTACCCCAGGCTCAGGCATAGTGCTGGACACGGTCACAGAGGCGTACACATGACCTCATGCGTATACATGGACACAGTCCCCACGTGAACATGGGTCTGCATGTGGATACAGAGACACACTTGGACATGGTCTTACACCCACCCACAGTCACACACACAGGCCCAGCCTCACATACCAGCTCAGCTGTCCACCTGGACACAGCCCTTCACCAGAGTTCAACTGCACGTACATAGCACAGCCCTTGGCCACAATCCCCACACAGACTCAGGCACACAGGACAAGGTACACCTACAACCAAAGACAACCAGCATGGGACACAGCTGAGACAAGGCCCAACCACACAACCAGACACAGCCTCACACCCAACATAGTCACATGCAACCCCACCCAGAAAACAGCCCCTTACACAGAGGAGCTTATGCACAGACACAGTCACCTACACAAACACAAGACACAGCCACACCGAGTATTACTATCCTGGAACTGGCTCCACCAGAGTGTGGCCGTAGACAGGCCTGGGCACAGCCAAGTGCAACGACATTCAGAAGCTTCATTCACTGCCCTCAGGAAGCCCAACACACCAAGATGCAGCCACCTGGGGACACAGGTTCACAGAGACCAGTGAACCACCAGACACAGACTCAGGTGCGTTACCCAAGCATGCTGCAAACTCCCAGAGGCACTGGGTACATGTGGAAAAGGAAGCACGCACATCCAAAGTCCCATCTGCAAGAAGACCTCAGACATGGCCATACCAGAAATTCACATTTGCCCATCAGAGAACTCTGAAGCTAAAGGGCAGATGAATCTGCCCTCTTCCTCTGCGGGACCCACATACAGTTGGATGACCATTAAAGACCCACTTGGCCTAGGGTTCCTGGTAAAGCCAGTAGCTGCCATCTCCTTGCCCACCGTGTTAACCTAAGCACCTGCAAGCCAGGCTGGACAGGGAGCGGTGACCCTAGGTCCTAGACCATGTTCCATCACTGACACACTGTGGGCTCTGTGCTGCTTCGCTTTGGGCCTTCCAGCTCTACAGCTGCATGTCAGGTGCCAGGGGTATTTGGGTTCTGGAGGAAAGTGCAGTCAGTCCCAGTTTCCCCAGATTGAGCTAAACTGGCAGATTGGTGGGTAATGAGCCGGTGGCCAGGAACTGAAGAGGAGGAAGTGGACCAGAGAAAATGACAGGCACAAAGGGATGGTGGGAGAATAGGGAACAGTGAGGGTGTGAATGTGAGGTAGGTTCACATGTGTGCCTGGTGTGCACATCTGTGGCTGGGCAAAGGGCACTTTAAGGCCTGTACATCTATATGACATGCTATGTGTCTATTGGAGTGTATTCATTCATTCATTTAAGAAATATGTATGAGGACCTACTATGTGCTAGGCATTGGGGTTACAGCAATGAAAAGGCAGACAAGCCTCCCTGCTCTCAGTAAGCAAATAAGCAAGTAAACAAACAGATCTTTGACCTGGGAAGGCTTCTCTGAGGAGATGACATTGAAGCAGAGACCTGAAGGATGTGAAAGCATGGGCCATGAGGGAAGAGCATTCTAGGCAGAGGGAACAGTACGTGCAAAATCCCTGAGGAGAAGTGGAGAGGCAACCAGATCTTGCAGCCCTGTAGACCATAGTCAGGGCTTTGCCTTTTATGCTGAACAAGCTGGGAAGTCAGTGGATGGGCTTGTACAGAAGAGTTACATGATCTGACTTAGTTTTAAGAGGACCCCCTGGCTGTTCTGTGATGGTTAGGTTGGGTGGGGGGAGGAGTGGCGAGGGCAGAGGCAGATTGAGGAGAATATTGCAATTACCTAGGCAGGAAATGATGGTGGCATGAAACAAGGTGGTGCCAGTGAGGGTATTGAAAAGAGGTCGACTTATGGATAGATTTTGAAAGTAGAGCTGAAAGCATTTGCTAATGGATTGGATGTGGGGTGTGAGAGAAAGAAAATTCAAGGATGACTACTGAGATTTTGACCTGGGCAATTAAATAGATGGAATTTCCATTACTGAGATGGGAGGAGCAGATTTGGGGAATGGAGGGAAATCAGGAGTTTGGTTTCAAACATGCAAAGTTGGAAGTACTTACTAGCCAGCCAAGTAGAGATCTTGACAAAAGCAGTTCAATATACAGTCAGTGGAGAGGTCTGGGTTGGAGAGATAAATTTGGAAGCTGTCAGTAGCAAAGACCCCTGGATGTTCAGAGCCCAATGGGTACTTAGGAATCAGTTTTGCAAATAGGGGAAACTGAGGCTTAGAGGGGCAGTGATGTGTCCAAGTTCACACAGCAAGTCAGAGGTAGCTCAAGCCCCTGACTTCCCAGGTCTAGCAGCCCCTACTCCTGGACTCAAACTCTAGCCTAAGAAGATGTGGCACTGTCTCACTTACCCAAAATTGACCTGCTCATTTCCACATGGAAAAGGCCATAAAGGAGGCTGGAGAAGGAAGCAGGAGCCATATCCAAAGAACCTGAGGGAAGCAATGACATGGGCAGACTTGCATTTTAGACAGCTCCCCATGCTGCTGTCTGGAGAATGGATGGGGATGGTGGGGGTGGGGGCTCCAGAGGGAGGCCCAGTCCCATATCCACCAGGGTGACTTTTCCATCATTACTTCTCTCTCACTTCAACTCAGAGAGGTGGCAGGACTGATGGTAGCATCCCCATTAAACAGATGGGAACACCAAGGCTCAGAGAGGAGAAAATGTACTTGCAGTTACAAAGCAAGTCAGTGACAGAACAAGTTGGAGTGGCAAGGGGTCCTTGTGTCACACATCCCCAAACTGAGACCAAGAGAAAGGTCAGGACCCCTTCAAGGTCACCCAGCAAGTAGGAGGCAGAGCCAGCCCCCAGCTTCATGAGCACTGGCCTAAGGAGCCCCAGCCCTGCCTCACCTCCCTCTCCCAGCCCACTCACTCTGACATTCCACTCAGGAAAAAGCCAGGCAGGGGGACTTAACTTAGACAAGCCAGGAAACCCAGGAAGGGGAGGGAAGAAGCAGAAATTAAATTAGTTTATTTCATTTGAGCAACTTTTTGAAGGAGAAGCAAATTCGACACCTGGGTGCTTGCAGAGACTCCAGGCGGCTTTGAAAATCAGTCAAAATTACTGAGCCTCCTGATCTGGGCTGACGGGGGCGGGGCCAACAAGCGGCCCCAGGTCGGGCAACTTCGGAGATCAGAAGGAGCAGGGACACAGCTTGGGACATGAAAGGCATCAGAGCTCGCAAATTAAACCACTCTTAGCTTAAAAGGGAAGGGAAGTGTGCCAGGGGCCTCCAATGAGCCACGCTTCTGAGGAGGGGCACGGCACGCCAGCCAAGCTGAGCCTAATGCAGTGAAACTGGTCCTGCAGCTGACAGTCAGGAGTCCTGTCTTTCCTCACGACCTTGGCCACATCCCTGTCCCTCTCTGGGCCCAAATTCCCTTCTGATCATTGAGGGATTTTATTCGTGCAACAGATATTTATTGAGTGCCTGCTATGTGCCAGGCACTGTTCCAGGCATTGGGGATTCTTAGGAAGCCTATATATAGAGCAGGGAGAGAGACCAGAAAGAAATAAACAAGCCAATATATTATACACCCACCCGGTGGTGTAAGTGCTGTGAAGAACAGGGGATTGGGAATTACACAGGGTGGGGCAAAAGTAGGTTTACAGTTGTTTGTATGGAAAATAATACAACTAATAAATAATAAAACAAGAATAAACTCTGTTTTGTGTACTCACAACTGCAACTCTACTTTTGCCCCACCTTGTATTGGGGAGTGCTATTTTAGACAGAGGAGTCAGGGAAGGCCTTTCTTTTTATAAGATGACATTTAAACAATGATCTGAAGGAACCAAGGGAGTAAGCCAAGGAGCCATGTGAAGCAGTGGTTTTCATACTCTATTGCGCATCCACATCACCTGAAGGGCTTGTTAAAACACAGATGGCTGCCCCTTCCCCCAGGACTTCTGATTCAGTAGGTCTGGGCTACTAGAAACGTTCACATTTTAAACAAATTCCAAAGTGCTACTGATGCTGCTGGTTTAGGGACCACACGTTGGAGGAAGAATGTTCCAGGCAGAGGGAACAGCAAGTGCAAGGGTCCTGAGGCATAATGTGTTTGTGGTGTTTGAGGAATAGCAAGAAGGTCCGTGTGGGTGAAGAGAGGAGTAAGTGAGAGGGAGAGTGTCCAATGAGATCAGAAGAAGCACCAGAGGCAGGGTCACTTAGGACTTTGCAACCATTGAAAGGTTTTTGGTTGCACTCTGAGTGAGATAGGGAGTAGAGAAGTGACATAATCCAATTTATATTTTTAAAGGATGTTGGCCACCATGTTGAAAATAGACTGTAGGCGGCAAGGCTGGAAGTAGGAATATTAGTGAGGGGGCAACTGCAATTGTGTGGGCAAGAGGTAATGGTGACTTGGACCAGTGTGGTGGCGAGAAGATATGGGGTTATGGATGGATGTTGAAGGTGGAGCCAACAGGGTTTGTGAGGGATTGGATGTGGTGAGTGAGAGATGAGATAAGGATGCTGCTTAAGTTTTTGGTCTGAGCCACTGGATGGATGCAGCTGCTTTGCTGAGATTGGGAATGCTCCAGGAAGAGCAAGTTGGCAGCGCAAAATTAAGAATTCATTATTGGACAGGTTAAGATTGAGATGTCTACTAGAAATCCAAGTGGAGTTGTCAAGGGAACAGTTGGATCTCTGAGTCTGAAGGTCAGGAGCAAGATCGGGACTTGAGATACAACTTTGGAAGTCATCCACAGACAAAGAGGAAATTTAAGGCATGAGGTTGAATGGAATAAAAAAGTGAGTAAGTTTTGATAGAGAAGAGTTGGATTAGATAATCTCTTGATGTAGGGGGCCCAGACCCCTTCCCGAG